AATTAGATGAAGCATTCGCGTCATTTTAAAAAAGTGCTCATGTGCAGCTTCTTATTTTATGCATGAAGTTTAAATTGAACCAGCTGAGCGTCCACAGTGGACCTCGCAAATTATTTATAAAATGAATTTATAATTCACGCTGTAGTCCTGATTTGGCCATTTATTTACTCGACGTTTGTTTTATTCTTTTCTGAATGTTGCATTTAAGCCATTCATATTTTATTTTAATAATGTGACTTGAAACGTAATAATTCACAACATAAATCAAAATAAAAACACTGCGGAAAAACCTAGTTCTTATCTTTATCATTGAGGTGAAAAGTTTCTTTGACAAATCAATCTTTAAACAGTACTTTTTTATTACTTTCAGACGGATAATAAAGCGATATAATTTTCTGCCAGAAAACTTTTCCAGTGGGTAAAAAAATTGCCTATTAATCAAAGGAATAAATTTATTTTCAAGTAATATTTTATAAAGTATCACAAATATTTTTTGCAGTTTTTTACGGATTAAAATACCTGAAGTTCTTACCAGTGGCGGAACGTAGGTGTATAGGAATGTGGTGCTACTAAACACTAATTTTTGAAGAGTAAAATAAAGAAAATAATTTGTAATTATTAAATATATACAGGGTGGCAATTTTAAAAAACACCTAATATTTCTTAACTGATGACACTTTAAAAATTTGGCGAAACACGTCAATTTACATATCAAGGGGGGCAACTGTTGAGGTATTTGTTGTTGTATTACATTTAACCCCATGACTTCCAAAGCACTCACCCCTAAAATTTTAAATAGCAACCCCTATTTTTTTTGCCATTTTTGAAATCCTTATGTAATTCTAGATAAGTTATATTTCTTTTTAATTTATTTTTACCAAAATTGAAGTGGATTACCTCACAAATGTATGGAATGTATTCAATTATTATTATTATTAAATAATTAAGTTTTCAAACGCTTGCGTTTACTGTGTTGTCACAGCCATTCATTTTAATATGTAATGTGGAACTACGTTTAAAATGCTTACCTTTATTTACATCTTTTTATTAAAAACAAATTTTTTGTGCAGTTTTTTTTATTTTGTTTTATCGGATATAATTTAGAAGTGATAAGTGCAGTTCCTTTTTTCGTACGCCCGGTGTACTAATTTGATTTGCCGAATCGATTAGTAAAAATAAGCTACTCTCTAAAAATGAATTAGTCAAAAATGACTAATTTAATAGTTATTAGTGGCTGCTTTTTCACTTGTACCATGGTTAACCATGGAATACCATGGTATCCCAAAATTTAACAGCCAATTCTTATGTAAAATTGTCCCCCAAATCAGTCAAATACCGTCAAAAATTATGAAAGTGGAGCACCATATTAAATGGAAAATTGACTATATTTCAAAAACTGTTTTACTTTTTTAACTTTTAACGATATTTTCGGATTCAGGGAACAATTTTACATAAGAATTGGCTGTTACATTTTAGGATACCATGGTATTCCATGGTTAACCATGGTACAAGTGAAAAAGCAGTCAGTAATAACTATTAAATTAGTCATTTTTGACTAATTCATTTTTAGAGAGTATAGTAGTTAGTTGTTTTTTGTATCTTTTTATTAAAATGGTTTACATTTATGGAGCGGAAAACCGTTGCTTCGCAAGAACGGCGGTCATATTAAATCGAGATCCAGAAAGAAATGTTAGACACAAGTACATCCAAGATTTAGTAGCTAAATTTGAAGAAACTGGATCTGTTTGCAATAAGAAGAGGAATTAGCCAAGATTGGTCAATGAGGACTGTCGCGTGAATCACAAATTTCACACATACAAGCTACAAATTACTCAAGAATTATTGAGTTTTGCGAAATTATGACTAACAGGATTATTGCTCAGCACCAGTTTATAAAAAATATATGTTTCAGTGAAGAGTGCACCTTCTACTTAAATGGCAACTAAACAAACAAAACTGCCATTATTGGAGCGACTTTAATCCTCACATTATTAGAGAGGGGCATACACAATATCCTCAAAAAATAAATGTTTGGGCGGGCATATCAGGGGATACTATCATTGGTCCTTTGTTCATAAATGGAAATTGACAAATTGAGCCTAATTCATGGTGGAAAATCAAAGATACGTCGATGGAAATCTTGTTTTCGATGAGCAGGACGGAGCACCTCCTCATCCAGTAAGAGAGTGGTTGGATAATCATTATCCGGATCAATGGATTGGTAGGAGGGGACCCATTGAATGGCCACCTAGGTCACCAGATCTGACACCGCTTGATTTCTTTATATGGGGTCATTTGAAATCCATTGTATTCAAAACCCAACCGGACTCAATTGAACAACTCCAACAAAAGATTGTTCAAGAATGTAGGGCTATTTTACAAGAGACACTTCAAAACGTCCGCGAACAGTTTTTGCTTACAAAACAATGGAAACCATTTTGAACAATTAATAAAGTAATAATATTATTATCCTTATTATCACTTTTATGGCGGAACCCCATTAGCAGTATTTTAATTTATAGACTTCCATACATTTGTGAGGTTATAACCACTTCAATTTTGGATTATCTAGAATTACATAAGGATTTCAAAAATGGTGAAATAAATAGGGGTTGCTATTTAAAATTTAAGGTTCAGGTGCTCTGGAGGTCAGGGGGTTAAATGTAATATAACAACAAATACCTCAACAGTTGTCCCCCTTGATATGTAAATTCACGTGTTTTGCCTAATTTTCATAGTGTCATCAGTTAAAGAAATTGTAAAAAAGTGCTTTTGGTTTAAAATTGTCACCCTGTATATTTGGGTTTAATATTGTAGATACTTTTCATCCCGGTATGAATAAAACATTCATTGGTACAATTACTTAAATAATACTTTATTAATATTGTTCATCGCTACTATCATCTAAATCTAGATTAATTAAAAATTGTTCTACATGATCCAACACTATTTCCCGGTCAAGATATTTATCTTCTATAGATGGTGACATCTTTTTATCCAATCCTCTTGCGACATTTCAGCAAATTCTTTAACTATTCTTTCAATTGTTCGCACTGATACACCATTAGCACAACTTACTTTTGATTTCACAGCACTCAGATTTTCTTTCTCAGTTTTATTATTTTTAAAATAATAAAAAAACATAAAAAATAATTTCTCGAGCTTGACTTCCACGAACTTTATTATGTGTATTTTTCGTTTCTGCCATTACTTCTTCACTTGACAATATAATTCATTAATATTAGAACCAATAAAATGCCAGTATTCCATAGTGACGTATTTTATCACGCTCGGCAATAATTTTTATCATCTTGTTTACACGTTACTATGAACTTTGACGTTTTTTTGATTTGACATCTGTTGTCATTTAAATACTGTGTTTGTTACCTAAATGATTAAAATAATGAATTATAAACTCTAAAAGATCGATGGGTTGGTGTAAACGATAATAAAATTAAGGTAAGTTTGAATAAATAAGGTTTATTAAGTCTTTTTATATTTTAAAGCACATTTTAATTTCAAATGTCAAACTAAAAATTCGTTAAATTCTAAAATTCATTATATTTTCTCACTAAATATAACTCGTGGTATGATTAATTATCGATGATATTTACTCATTAAAACCGAAGCAGCACATTTCACTCGTCCTGCGGACTCGTGAAATCTGCAGCTCGGTTTCAATTCGAAAATATCATCGACAATACAATTCATTAATATTAGAACCAATAAAATGCGAGTATTCCATAGTGACGTATTTTATCACAGCGGCAATAATTTTTATCATCTTGTTTACACGTTACTAAGAATTTTGACACTTTTTTTGATTTAACATCTATTGTCATTTAAATTCTGTATTTGATATATATCAATAAATTAATGAATTATAAACTCTAAAAGATCGATGGGTTGGTGTAAACGATAATGAAATTAAGGTAAGTTTGAATAAATAAGGTTTATTAAAGTCTTTTTATATTTTAAAGCACATTTTAATTTTAAATGTCAATCTGACAAATTTTTTAATTCCTAAAATTCATTATATTTTCTCACTAAATATAACTCGTGGTATGATTAATAATCGAAGATATTTACTCATTGAAACCGAAGCAGCACATTTCACTCGTCCTGCGGACTCGTGAAATCTGCAGCTCGGTTTCAATTCGAAAATATCATCGCTGATAATCATACCACTTGTTATATTATGGGTGATGATAATCATACCACTAGTTATATTATGGGTGACAATATTGCTTCTTAGATTATTTTAATTAACTATTTATGCTTAGTATGATTGATTAATTTTTTACTTTTTTATTGTATAGAACTATTGTAAAAGTACACTCATAATAGTTAAAAAGTTATAAAAGAAAAAAAAAGTATTTTAATAATTAAAATATTTTTTTACAGAATATAATATTTTAAGTTCATTCTTAATGTTAAGATGATCCAGTAATGAATATTTGCAACTTGATGATCTTTGTCTAGTCGTAGTTTGTGTTAATTTAGTTATTCAATTGTGGATGTGAATCGTTTTGTTTGTTTGAAAATAAGTGCAGCAACATAAAGCCTGTCTGAGGGCATTTAGGAAAACTATTTGCCTTCTTGAAACAATACAACTTGGCCTAAGCGAATTATCCTCGAAACTTCAATTTCTAATGACGTCTGCACAATAACGATTAAAGGCAGAAATCGTGCATTAAATTTAAATCAAACGGATCACATGGAGGTAACGTCACGTACAGACTGTTAATAGTTGTGTAGTTAAGTCTTACTCTCGTGCTATTATTATTATACAATATTATTGTTTCAGCTCGATCATGTAATCAGAAGTGGGATAAAATTCGATTACAAGATTTGATCGAAGCCAAAATTCGTTTAAAACAAAAAAGTATTATTATAAAATATTATTATTTCAGCTGGATTGTATAATCAGAAGAGGGATTGCATTCGATTACAAGATTTTATTAAATCGTTTAACAATAAAAATAGATTGTTGAACTTACCTTTTTCCAAAGGCGCTCTCTTGTACTTTTCTAATCTTTTGACGGCGATAGCTTCGAGCCTTACTCTGGCCGCAGGATATTCTTTTAGGACATCCCACATGTCCTTTTTACTGAGAACGAATAAATCGCTGTAACCTACTGAACGGACGCTTGCTGTACGACGATTGCCTAAAACGATTTTCGTAAAGTAAAAATAACAACAATAATTTATGACGAAAAATGCATTTTTATTGTTTAATCAGGGCAAAAAATAGTAACGTTTGACAAACAAATACATTGAAGCTGAATACAGTTTTTGCCAGTTTATTACGGCATATTTACTGTATGAAGCGAACTTATTAGTAACTACATACAATCGATTGTGATTATACAACGTATATTTTTTGGAATAAAAATGCACTTTTCTTATAAATATGCAAAATGTATAGCTCTGGAAAACAGGAATTTAAAGTACATGTAATTTGGGCCATAAAATAACATTTATTAAAAATGTTCATTTTACGATATATTTTGTAGAAAAACATTCTATCCGTAAATAAAATACTTATAAAAAACATGCCAGCATAACAATATATCAAAATGCATACGTGTGTTTTACTGTCAAATAAAATAAAAGGAATCCATAAAAAATACACTACCCAGGAAGGTATATATTTTTTATTTTATAGTTTATAGGTATTTATTTAATAGATTATCACTAATTAAATTTAAAAAAAATATTATGATAATATTTTAGTAAAGTGTTCAGTTTACATTTGTAAATAAAAAAAATTGGTTAACTACTCTTGTAATGTCAAATTTATGTTTCGCATAAAATTTTGTGCTCAATTTTTAGAGTAGTTTCGCTGCAATACCAAAAAATCGGTAAAATTAATGGAAAGTTGAACTTTGATCTTTAATAACTTTTTAACCAATAATTATTAGTTTAGCGCAAAATCATAGAAAACATTTTTTGTAGAGCGATTAATTCTCTACAAAAATATTTAAACACATTTTGGTTGACTTTTGGTTGGGGAGTTTTAGAAATCAGAAGGAACAAAGTAAAATTTTCGAAAAGTGCGATACGGAGCATTAATATTTTAAAATTAAGAGTTACTTATAATATTTTTAAATGCTCATTTTTACACCTAAACGGTTTGAAAGAAAAAACACCATATTGTATACATTTAAATATTAAATTAATTAATAAGAAATACTATTAAGCAAATAATTTTTTATCTGGTTACAACACAGCGTAGTAAACTTTTCTTTAAAATAAACCCAATTAAAACGTGGAATACAAAATATCGAAAATTTAAATTATATTTACTTTCAATATTTTTAAATTGGCTTTTCCATATTCTTGAAATAATAAAAAACTTATAATCGAGTACCAATCAATATTTCATTTCGTTTCCTTTCAGGCGGAGGCTTGAATAATTTTCAGCTCTTTCAGATTTCGTGTAATTACAAAAAATTACAACTTCCCCTTTTGTGTGCGAGAACTGAGTGAAGTATTCTACAAATTAACAAAGTAGTGCAAAGGTATTTTAGTAGGCAAAAGAGGCGATCAGCAGGTCGCGGTTCTCCATATCTACTGACCCTAAATTTCCATTTTGTCAAGTTCGCCTGTTCAGTGTTTAGCAAAAACTTTTCCCTGCTGCCGGCCATTCATTAATTATTCCACAAGCGTGCGTAATATGAATGCATAAATATGACAACCTAAGCCTAAGTAACCCTAGTAATTGATTTAATTTAAGGTTATGTTTGTTTTCTGCTTTACAAAAAAACTTTTAAATTTAATGATTTTAGTGGATATTTGCAGACAACTTGGCTTAACTAACCAAAGGGCTAACGACGAACATGTTTGACAAAAAATCTTTGACATTTGATGTCATAAGATTGGTAATAAACGGTTTTAAGTATCAAGAGAGCACAACGCACAGACAGGTATTTTGAGCTAAAACGCGGCCAAAACCCAATTTTGTTAATTTTTATTACTAGATCTTATATTTCGCATCAAAGCAGATATACAGGGTGTTCCAATAAAAACTCCCAGGCCAATTATTTCGAAAACTAAAAGTGACATTTAATTTCTGTAAACGCCAGTTTTTAGCCTCTATGATTGGCTTCACAACTGTGTAAAAAATGTGTTTGAATAATGCAAGATGTAGGTGGCGCCACTGTGCAAAGAATTTTTTCGATGGCAGGTACTTTTAAATTAATTTTTGATCAAATTATGTCCCATACAAATTTTTGATAAATCCGTCATGATCGGAGATATTTAGGGTTAAGTTTTTTTTTTAATAATTTTAAAGAGTATTTTAATTATAAATATTTATAATATCCTTTAGCAGATGTTCATTTAATTCTGGTAATGATAATTTCAGTGATTTTAGCTCTAACTAGATTAAAATTATTATGTCCAGTGACGTCTCTGGGGGCCCCTTAACAAATATTATTGGCAAAAAATAATACCCCACTGATTTTCTGGTAATTTTTATATTTTTTTCGGAATAAGCAACTAAAAATATCCTTTTTCTGTCTGTTGAATTGCTTCGTTTTCGAGAAATAAAATAAAACCATTTCACTGCATATCTCTGGAAAACAATAGTCATTAAATAAAAACAAATGAATGATAGAAACATCAAGTAAATTTTTCTTCACTTTACTCAATGTCAGTGTCAATGTAAGCAATTTCTACATTTCTAAAATAAAAATGGTTCACCATACAAATCAAAACAAATTGAACATGGTTTTAGTTTATGGAGAATGCCATCAAAATGCTTCAGAAGCTGTACGCTGCTATCGAGCTCGTTTTCCAGAAAGACCAACGCCCGATCGCAAATCTTTTGTAGCTTTGTGTACCAACTTAGCTACATATGGTAGTTTTAAAAAGTGAAAGGTTCCAAGAAGGAAGAGGGTTACGACTGACGAAAATGTAGCTTTAGTTCTCCAAACAGTAGAAAATAGCCCACAAACGTCATTACGAAAATTAAAAGATGAAACTAATATTTCACTAAGTTCGTGTCGCAGAATCCTAAAAGGAAATAAGTTTTTTCCATACAAGGTTCATTTAGTGCATCATCTACAACCAGGAGATAACCAGCGCAGATTAAACTTTTTGGCACATTTTCATATTCTTTTGGAAGAAAATCCAAATTTATTAAACAAAATTATGTGGAGTGATGAATCACAATAATGGAGTAATTAATAACGCTACTGGTTCCAGGAAAATCCTAACTGGTTGCGACAGACTAAATTTCAAACCCGATTTGGGGTAAATGTTTGGTGCGGTATTGTAAATGGTTACATAGTCGGGCCCTATTTGTACCATGAAAATTTAACTTCAGTTCGTTATTTACAATTTCTGCAAACCGATCTCCCTTTGCTGTTACAAAATTTAGGAATTAACGTAAATACTATGTGGTTTCATCAAGACGGTGCCCCAGCACACAATAGCAATTTCGTAATAAATCATCTAAATGTGACGTTTCCAGGAAAAGTGATCAGCACAAATGGGGATCTTAGATGGCCAGCAAGGTCCCCTGATCTTACTCCGATGGACTTTAATTTATGGGGCTGCTTACAAAATGATGTCTACAAGGAACCAATAGAAGACATGGCTGACCTTTACAACAAAATGTATGCTTCTATAGCCGCTATTAATCGATATACACTATTGAGAGTTTGCAGAAGCGAATTATTATATCGATTTGCTATGCGTTTGTATGAAAACGGCAATAATTTTGAACACCTCATTCGACCTCATTAGTTAGTTTTTGGTATTGTTCTAATTTTCATTAATAATTTTGTATAATTTCCCACCAGTTCTTTCATAAAATTTAAAACATTTATTATTATGTTTTAATGTTTTACCTTTATTTTTTAAACAAAAAATATAGCGTATTATTATTATTATTATTTATGGTTTTGTTTTTCAAATGGTTTTATTTTTATTTCTCGAAAACGAAGTAAGATATAAAAACAATTCAACAGACAAAAAAAGGATATTTTAGTTGCTTATTCCGAAAAATATATTAAAATTACGTATTATTTTTTTCCAATAATATTTGTTAAAGGGCCCCCTGAGACGTCACTGGACTTAATATTTTTAATCTAGTTAGCGCTATACGAGCGTTTTATCACCAAAATTATCATTACCAAAATTAAATTAACATTCTGCTAAAGAATATTAAAAATATTTCTAATTAAAATACTCTTTAAAATTATAAAAAAAAGTTAACCCCAAATATCTCCGTTCATGTCGGATTTATCAAAAATTTGTATGGGACATAATTTGATCAAAAATTAATTTAAAAGTACCTGCCATCGAAAAAATTTTTTGCACAGTGGCGCCACCTACATCTTGCATTATTCAAACACATTTTTTACACAGTTGTGAAGCCAATCATAGAGGCTAAAAACTGGCGTTTACAGAAATTAAATGTCACTTTTAGTTTTCGAAATAATTGGCCTGGGAGTTTTTATTGAAACACCCTGTATAACATGGCTTTCTTTTGGTATAGTTGCTACCTGAATTAGCCATCCCAGTCCGTGGTACCAACAGCTAGAACTGTAGCGTTCCTTTAAATCGTACGTCTTCGTTCGCGACACTCCACATATCGTCAATTAAGGTATGTACAATATTTTTACCAACATTTTATTTGTGTTATAAACTTTTTTTTATTTATATCGAGTACTATAATCATCACTGAAAAATTTACCCCTGATAACATACTTTAGTGCGATCTTATAAGATTTTTAGGTAGATGGATATATTTTTTATTTTTTAAAGGGCACAAAAAATTTAATATATGTTTAATTTTAATATTTTTATTGTATTACTTGCATGAAAGTAACTACTTTGTAATTTTTTTAAAATAAATGTTTAAATACATATATTTTTTATTTCTAGTAAAAATTCCTTGTATAAATTGAAAAAAATAATCTCTTATACATTTTGTTTTTTAAATAATTTATATTGAAAAATATAGGTACACAAATTTTAAAAACTGTTACTTTAAACTTTAAAAATATTGTTTCAAAGCATATTTTTAATTATTTCTCAAATAAATATTACAAATGATAAAAACAATTTGAACCAAAAATAGGCGAGCCGAGGGCATCATGACGCGCAGGACCGAGATTTCAACGTTTGGCCCGTGTGGTGTATACTGTTTTTCTTC